CATATGAAGGCTTCAATTTTCTACATCCTCGACAACACTTGTCATTATCTGTCTTTTTAATTATTGCCATCCAAGTGAGTATGAATTGGTGTCTCATTGTGGCTTTGATTTGTATTTTCCTGATGGCTAATGATGAATACTTCTCTATGTGGTTATTGGCCATCTGCATATCTTGTCTGGAGAAATAACTATTTAGCTCCTTTGCTATTTTAAAATTGAGTTGTCTTTTTATTATTCAGTTTTAAGAATTCTTCATATATTCTAGATACTAGATCCTTATCAGATATATGATTTGCAAATATTGTCTTCCATTCTGTGGAGTGTCTTTTTCAATTCCTTGAGAATGTGCTTTGAGGCACAAAAGTTTAGTTTTGATGAAGTCCAATTTATTTATTTTTTTTCTTTTGTTGCTGTGCTTTTGGTGTCATATCTAAGAAACCATTGCTACTCCAAGTTCATGAAGATTTATCCCTATGCTTTCTTATAAGAGTTTTATGATTTTAGGTTTTACATTTAGGTCTATGACCTATTTTAAGGTAATTTTAATGTATGTTGTAAAGTTTGGGGCCCAACTTCATTATTTCACATGTGCATATCCAGTTGTTCCAGCACCATCTGTTGAAGACTATTTTTTCCCCATTGAATTGTTTTTGCACTCTTGATGAAAATCAACTGACCATAAATATAAGGGTTTCTGTTTGGACTTTCAATTCTATTCCACTGAACCGTATGTCTACCTTGTGCATGTACCACACAGTCTTGATTACTGCAGCCTTATAGTGAGTTTTGTAAAGGGCAAGTATAAATCCTCCAGCTGTTCTTCTTTTTTAAGATTGTTTTGGCTATTGTTCCTTAAATTTTCATATAAATTTTAGGAACAGCTTGTCCATTTCTGCAAAGTTGGGATTTTGATAGCATTGTGTTGATTCTGTAGATCAGTTTGAGGAGTGCTGTCATCTTAATAGTATCTTTCATTCCATGAACACGAATGTCTTTCCATTTATTTCAATCTTCAAAAAACTTTTTCCAACAATGTTTTGTAGTTTTTGAAGTATAAGAACTATGTTCCTTTTGTTAAAATTATTCCTAAGTATTATATTCTTTTTGATGCTTATGGGATTGCAAATGTATAGAAACATAACTGATTTTTGAATATTGACCTTGTATCCTGCAAACTTGCTGAACTTGTTTATTAGTGCTAATGTATTTTTGGTGGAGTCCTTATATTTTGTATATATAAAGTCCTATCAGCTGCAAATAGAGACAGTTTTGGTTTTTCTTTTCCAATCTAGATGCCTTTTATTTAATTTTCTTGCCAAATGGCTTGGGTAGAACTTCCAGTACAATGTTGAATAGAAGTGGTCAGAATGGAAATCTTGTCTTCTTGCTGATGCTAGTGGGAAAGCATCAGTCTTTTACCTTTAAAAATATTGGTTCTGGATTTTTTGTAGCTACCTTTATCAGATTAGTGAAGTTCCCTTCTGTTCCTAGTTAGTTTGGTGTTTGAAAGTATTTTGTTGAGAATTTTTGTGTTTATATTTATTCGTCTGTAGTTTTCTTTTCTTATAATACCTGTGGTGAATTTTTTTGTTTATATTTATTCGTCTGTAGTTTTCTTTTCTTATAATATCTGTGGTGAATTTTTTTTTTAAATAATAAAAATAGCTAAAAATCCACAAGGGTATTAGGTCTTCTCCCTGCCTTGGCTACCCATCCTTAGCCACTCCCTGGTACTAGTTCATATGATTGATTTATAAATATACATATATACATATATATTATATTACCAGCTATTTGAATAGAAACCTTTTTACATTCCTTAACATTTGTAGTTATATAAATAATTTTAGAAATATAATCTGATAGTCTGAGTATATGATACAAGATATTCTCTATCAGGTTGTAATAATAAAATAATTTAAGTTTCTATAGCAAAAATAAAAAACTGAAACAAAGCTCACAATCATAAATTCCACTTCTAGAAGTGTAACTTGTGCAGGTCACGCCCTCTGAGTCTCAGCTACAACAAGAATAAAATTAACTACTTGCACCTTTGTCCTGAGGACTGACTGGGAAAATGTTTGTAAGAAGGCTTGGGATAACGTAGACTCAATCATATTTATTGTCACGTCACAAATTGCATATCACAGTATCTCTTTAAATAGAAAGCTGTCCTGCTGCGTGTTGGATTCGTGTACAACTTTTTAAAAAAGCCTCTATTTCATAAAACTGAATACTTCTGTATGTAATCAGTTTTTCAGAAGTTGCCTTTCAGTTCTTAAGTCCTTTTTTTTTGGCCTAGATTTTGTGATTTGTTGCCTATTTTGGAAACTTGGAAAGTACCATGCAAATACAGATATAGCTTTGCTAGTTAAAAATAAAATACTTAGTGTTTGCTGGTGAAGGAAAATATGATGCTATGTAGGTAGAAGTGCGTGATGAAAATCAGATTCACATTTCATAAGACCATTTCTGGAGAACTTCAGACTTTAAAAGTTGGAGCCAAATGCTTCTCTCAGATGATAGTTTATGACTCTTACTGAAGTCAGAAGTAATTCTGAGGGTAGAACTTAAGCAAGTGTTTTGAAAGCTGAGAGGAAAAAAAAAAAGACCGATGCATAAATTTCCAAATCTTCCTAAAGTACTTAGATGGGAGGTGATTTGCAGTTAAGACCTTGAGAAATGGGGGGAGGGTACAGTTCAAGTGGCAGAGTGCATGTTTAGCATGCAAAGGTCCTGGGTTCAATCCCTAGGCTTCTCCTAAAAATAAATAAATAAGCCTAATTACTCACCCCTCCCCCGAAAAAAAATCTTGAGAAATGTTTTTTTTTCCACTAGTGGGATATTAATAATACTTTAATGTAATTTATTTTACTTTCCACAGAATGCTAATAATGCTAGAATTTTGTTAAATAACCATTTAATAGGCAAATAGTACATGTAGGACAATACCAGTTATAATATCTAACACGAAGTCCTTAAAGATTCCTTTAAATAGAGAGTTTCTCTAATGCATTTTACAAATACATTGCTATGAGACTGAGATGAAACTTTTCTATTTTTCCTATTGCATAAAATGAAATCTGTGCTCAATACTTATTGATAGCTTAATCAGAAATTATCTTAAATTTTTTTTCTTGCAGTAATGGCAAAGATTTATTTATTTATTTGTTTGTTTATTCATTCATTCATTCATTCATTTATTTAAGTATAGCTGATCTACAGTGTTGTGTTGGTTTCTGGTGTATAACATAGTGATTCAGTTATGTATATAGATACATTTTCTTTTTCATACTCTTTTTCATTATAGGTTATTACAAATTATTGAATATAGTTCCCTGAGCTATACAGTAGGACCTTGCTGTTTATCTTTTCTATATATCATATCATAATCCCAAACTTCCAATTTATCCCTCCCTGTCCTTTCCCCTTTGGTAACCATAAGTTTGTTTTCTATGTCTATGAGTCTCTTTCTGTTTTGAAAATAAGTTCATTTGTGTCATTTTTTTATTTTAATTTTTAATTTTTTCATTCTTTTTTTTTTTTGAGGGGGGAGGTAATTACGTTTATTTATTTATTTATTCTTAGAGGAGGTACTGGGGATTGAACCCAGGACCTCACGCATGCTAAGAATTTGTTCTAGCACTTGAGCTATATCCTCCCCTCTGTGTCATTTTTTTAGATTCCACATGTAAGTGATATCATATGATATTTGTCTTTCTCTGTCTGACTTACTACAATGATCTCTAGGTCTATCCATGTTGCTGCAGAAAGAACTACTTCTTTAATTCCCACATGTTGACATAATGACAATTAAAATTTTAAAAATTGAGTGAAATGAAAAATATTGACATATTGACATAACGGAGATTTAAAAAGTGACAATGTACAACTTTGATCATGATGTTCAAGGGGATTCTCCATTAGTTGGCTGTCTTTGACAGTTAGATCATTTCATAAGATAGGAATTGTTTGTTATCTTTCACTATTTGTCAGTGCTTGACTAGACTGGTTCCAAAGTTGATCTTCTTAGTCCTTAGTCTATTTTGGACAAGGGTGCTAGCCACAAAGGTCATATCTGCAAGTTGATGCTTATCATTACACTATCTCTGACAGAAAGCAACACAGATGCAAAGAGTGAAACCATTTCGGTAGGCTTTCTTTGAAGAACCGATAAAGGTCACCTCTGTGCCCCAGGTTAATAGTAACATGGGCCAGAGGAGAAAATATAGGGATCTTTTCCTCTTCTATTGATTTGCTATATAACCAGACTCAATTTTTTACAAATAAATGCACTAACCAAAAATAAATCCAGTAAACTTAAAGATAATTCTTGCCATTTAGTTATCTAAAGAATAATCTGGTTTGATCTGTGCAACAGGATCTCTAAGGCAAGTAGTCTTAGAACATCTAGTAGAAAAGAAAACTGAGCATTGGTGTGGGTGGTAGAATTTCCTAAAGAAGGAACAATTAATGAGTACCTACTATGGAGTTATTCCATGTAATATCTCAACTAATTTTCAAAATGACTGTAAACAGTAAGTTTTACATTCCCCATTTGCAGATGAGGAAAGATTAGCTGCCCAAAATTAGCCAGCTGGCTGGTGGCGGAGGTCGGGTTCAGTGGTAGAGTTAGTCTAATGCTTTTTCCTTCCTACCCTGGCTGTTTATTTAATTATGACTGCTCAATATTGACTCAACACAGAACCAAAAACCACTACAAAATATGATACATGACAAAGGGGAATATTTAGGAAATCAAAATTCAAGTATATTCTTTTATAAACAGGTAACTGGAATTTCATGATACATACAGTGTTGTCATTTTTGTTACAGATACTGTTAACTGGCTTTATCTTGTTTATGTCATTAAAAGAACAAGATAATAGCAATCACACATGGAAACATTTTCTTCCAATTACATTAGCCATGAAAACTTTTGACAAATTATTAGACTTATACACATTCTTCTCGCCAAATGTACATTGGATTCCACTCACATTCTCCATCACTAGAGAAAATGGTCTGTTCTTCTGGCTTCACCTTCTTAAGCTGCTGCACAGGTTAAGCTTTGCTTAACTTGGACCTGCCAAAAAAATTAATAATAATTATAATAAAATTCCCAGGGCCAAAGAATCCTCTTTAAACTCAAACACAATTGGAAAGCAAAGGGCGAATATTTATTCTTGTTTCTCAAATTCTTCTGAAGCCCACTTGGTGACTCACTTTCAATATTCTCTTTCTTTCTTTTAATCTGAGAGTTAGAGCTTATTTTCCTTATAGAATTGCAGAGTCTTTATGGAATCCTTCTTGATACCCTTTCAATCTCCTGTGCATTTTACTAACTTTGATTAATACATAGTGGAAAATGATAGGGATACTCATTTAAAAAGGAAGTTATAAGGATAACGAAACCTCTGAGTTAAGGAACTACTGTGGAGGAAAAGCCTCCTAAATTCTCTTTGTTTTGTTGGAGGAGGTAATTAGGTTTATTTATATATTTTTTTATTTAACGGAGGTACTGGGGACTGAATCCATGACCTCATGCTTGCTAAGCATGCGCTCTACCATTGAGCTTTCCCCTCCGCCCTACCTCCTAATTTCTCATGTAAGTTATTAGTAAGGCTTTCTCAGGCACACCGCCACCTCACACTCTGATCACATCATGACCTGCTTTATCTCTTCAGAGGCTCTAGTTAGCCATCGACAGCAGGTTTCCCAACCTTTTTGGACATGGAACTTCTTAAAAATTAAGTAACAATACTAATGATACTGTCATTTCTGACTGGGGATGATAAAGGAGTAAATTAACACCAACCTGGAGAAAATCATTACTATGTTCGGCGATTTTAACATTGATTGTTGAAGTGTTAAACACATTTTGACATGTCTTGCAAGAATTTTCACAAGATGAAGTTAATTTATGGATTCACTGAATACAAATAATGATGATAAAAATTAACACTACTATCACAAGTATGTTACAGGTATCATTCCATGTGCTTTAGACAAAATGAGCATTTTGAATCCTCATGACAACCCTATAAATTAGGTGCTATTCTCTCCATTTTACAGGTGAGGAAATTGAGACAATGACAGGTTAAGTAATTTTCTAAGGTCTTACAGCTGGAACCCATGCAATGTGGTGCTAGAGCCCATGTTCTCCATCATGGGGCTGCCTAGTAAAATTTTCAGTGTTTTAGTGTGTTTCATGTGTATGAGATGGTATAACTTAATCTTAGAATAAAACCAATGTTGAAACGCATCACCACTATCTACTTCACTTGTCTATCAGATAGACACTCCCAAACTTACTCCTCTTAATATTTAAATATTTCATTTATTGTTTTTAACAAAGAAACTATACGCCATTGTTTCCTTTAATATGAAACTCCCAAAGAAAGATTATACCTAACTCCTACAACAAAGATTCTCAAAGCTCAGTTCATGGACAATTTGCATCGGAATTCCTGATCATCCTGCTAGAAATGCCTGTTCCTGGGCTTCAGTACAGATTTACTCATTCATGGTCTTAGGAAGTGGGACTCAGGTTATTCTGATGCCCACCAACTTCTGAGGACCACCTTTCTACCAGGTCCTTCTTGTGACCCTGCTTAGGCCGCCTACCCCTGCTTCTACACGCACCACCTGGAGTTCCCCTGAATACAAGATGCTCTTTCACACCTCAGAGCCTGAACATGCTGTTTCCTGTGCTTCTTATGCTTCCTCCTCTTACTGTCTTCTGAACTCCCACTTAATAAAGATTCAGTTCAAAAGTCCTCCCCAAGGTTTCCCTGGGCCCATCAGGCAAGAGTTAGGTGCTCCTTCCACTGTACCCTATATCCTGCCATTGGTCTGTGTATTCTGTTAGCCAGGGATTCCCCTGAGATCTCTGCACTATCCATCTTTTTTTTTTTCTTCTTAAATAGAGGTACTGGGGATGCACCCAGGACCTTGTGCACGCTAAGCACGTGCTCTACCACTGAGCTATACTCTCCCCCCAACACTATCCATCTTTGTAAACCAACAAAGATCATGCCTGACATGGAGTGGTAGGGGCTCTCAATTTGCTGTTTGAATGGACTGTGGGTTCAGTGTTACTAAATGATCAGAGTGAAGGACTGATAGTTCTGCAGTTCTCAATTCTACGGAGATGGTAGATCATGCACATGACTTCTATTAGAAAATAATTTCCTAGCAAGTGGGAGAAAGGAAACACCTTATTTGGTCATTTTTTTCTTCTTGCACATTTTTTCCTTTTCTTTCTTTCCCCCTTTTTAAAATGTTTTACATTTGGAATAGGCAATACATGTGCTTGGTACAAAAGTCAAAGGCTCCCAGATGGTTGACTGTGATCTCCTCAACTACATCCTCCAACAGTTGAGTCCCTTACAGTGAAGCAGTCATTGTTTTAGTTTCTTGTGTGCCCTTTCAAAGCCATTTTAGCTACCCGTAGGCAAATAAGTATATATTTACCATTATTTTGCACTTTGTTTTTTTTAACTTTGTGATCCTTCCACATAAGTAGATAAATAGCAGCCTCTGCTTATTAACAGATACATACTATTCAATTCTATGAATGTATCGGGTGTGTTTCTTTTAAAAAACAAGATATCTCTTTATTGACATCTTGGTGGTTAGCAGTATTCTCTACCATAATAATGCTACAATAAACACACAGGTCATTTCACACAAGTGAGATATTTGTAAGATAGATTTCTAGAAATGGAACTGTAGGATTAAAAGATAGTGATAAGTTTTATCAAAATGGTTTCCCTAAAGATGACACCAATTTTCACTCCCACTAGCAACACATGAGAATATCCGTGTCTTTATGTCCTGCCAACGGTGTTTGCTGAGCCTCTAAATTGGAAACTAAAGGAACCCCTTCAAGTTAAGCTAGGCTCATCTACTGGTCTAACCCAGGAGTAAGATTACTTTTTGCAAAAAGTCAACACAAGTGTTTGCTCTATAGGCTCCTTTCTCCTCCCCAGGCAAACTGGCACTGGAATGTTCATTACTGGTCTAACCTCCACATGGCTTTAAACCCTAAGAGGCTCAGAGAGTTTTCAGAATAATTTCTACTCTGCTTTAGAAGTGGAAAACATCCCATCCATTCTACAAATATTGAGCGTCTACCACACACCAGGCATTCCAGTAGGTGAGGCATGAACAATGAATACAACAGACAAAAGTCCCTGCCTTCATTAAGATTACATTACAATGGGGCGAGGCACGGAGTAAACACAATACACAGACATGATATATGGTACGTTAGTTTATGATAAGTACCTTGGGAAAAATAAAGGAGGAAGGAACAGGGAGTATGAGGAGTTACTTTTGTGAAGGGTGGTCAGGGAAGGCCTCATGGTGATGACATTTAAGCAAAGACCTGAAAGCAGTATGCCAAGGAGTCAGAAGGCATCTGGGGGGAAAGAACGAAGGTGGGAGGCGAGTGTGCCTGGCATGTCCGAGGAACAGCAAGGAACGCTCCTGGTTAGGGCTCAGTGAGCAAGGGGAAGAGGTGAGGACACAGAGGTCATGGGGTTTGGGCAGCAGATCAGATTGTACAGGTCCTCAGAGGAAAAGGAGGAAACCTCAGGAGAGTTCCAGAGGGTTACTCTGAATGCTCTGATGAAAATAGAGAGAGGGAAGGCAAGAATGGATGAAGAGAGAAACAGTGAGGAGACTTCCTGGAAACCAGGTGAGAAATGAGATGAGTTAGCCTGGGCTGGTTGCCATGGAGATGTGGATGTGTTTAGACTGTGGGTCTATTTTGAAGGTGGAGCTAGCATGATTTTGTCAGATTGGATGTTGGATGTGAGGGGGAATGGAGGCGAGAAAGACTCTAAGGTTCTTGGCTCAAATAAGTAGAAGAGTGGAATTGTCATTTCCTGGGATGGAGAAAGACCAAATGCAGGGGGAGCATGTTTTAGAATGTAGATGAGTTGTGATATGACTTGGAGTTACCATGGCTTTCCATGGCTGTGGGTCTCAGATGGTCAGGATTCCAAGTTAAATTAGTGGCTGGACTAGACCATGACTGAAATTCCTTCTTGGGATGAAGGCTCAAAGGAATATGTGCCCATGGGGATTGTCTTCCTCCTGAGCCTTGCACTGAGATATTGCCTTAAATGTTCTTACACCTTCTCTTTTTCTGTGTAAAATATTTAATCAAAGGGATAGGCAAATGCACACACACAACCTTGAAAGCAATTAAGAAACTTGATTTCTTGTCCACTACATAACCAGCAGAACATGAGAGCCCCTATTAAAGGACTCACTGTCCTGCCGAAATGAAAAACTCACTTCAGTTCTACATTTGTGGGTCTCTGACGTCATCAAGACACCAGTTCTAGACAATGTCAGGCGAGACTGGTACAGAAACCACACCCGGGCAATCTGAAATGTGCCCTACTGAAGACTGCAACCAGGAATTCACTGGACAAGTAATCCAAAAAGAAAGAAAGCATTTCAAAAAGTTGTCACTAAAGCAACTTTTTAGTGAAACAATACCTAAAATTTGGAATGAGTATTTCAACAAACACATAAAAAGCTCAAGGAGGGAGAAGGGTATATATAGCTCAAGTGGTAGAGTGCATGCTTAGCATATGCAAGGTCCTGGGTTAAATTCCCAGTACCTCTTCTAAAAACAAATAAGTAAACTTAATTACATCCCCTACCCCCCAAAAAGGTCAAGTCATATTAGTGGAGGAAAGAAAAAAAAAAGAACAGAAACAGATATACAGGGATTACTTCAAAAGGCTAGGAAGAGAGATGAAGGGGAAGAAATCTTTTCAAAACTTGTGTCTTCGAATGGCTGGCGGAATCTATGCAACAATGCGGGAGAGCGCAGAGAGCAGAATTTTTTCCCAACCCAACTCGCCGGAGCAGCGGGGGTAGATCAGAAAGAAAACAACCAATTGCTAGAAAAGAGTAGGTAAGGGAATCCAAACTTGTTTTAAAGCAAGTAAAGTAGTGGCCAGACTGAGTGACTCAGAGGTATGACTCAAACCCGACAGTGGGGGCCGTCAGCTCGCGGAGGCCGGGGGCGCGGCGTCAAGCACATTTTAGGAAAGTACCAGGCGCGTGGAGGGCGACAGGAAACCTCCCCGGGGAACGGCCTGGGGCTCCTCCTGCCCCAGAGTCTGACCTCTTACCATCCGCACCAGGAGGAGTTTCTAATCCCCTGGCTTCCTCTTCTTTCAGAGGCCGCCGCCCCACTACCCCTGCTTTCCTTCCACA